CCCCAAAAGGGGGGAAAGTTTTCTTGAAACAATCCTTTAGAAAATTTTTCAAAATATTTCAAAGAAAGAGGGTTTATTTCGCCTTGCCAAAAAAAAAAAAAAAAAAAAAAAAAAGGGGCGGGGGGGTTAAGAACCGTACTAAAATCGAATTTTTTACCAGTTTTTGTACCGGATTTTTCGAGTTGGGAAACCTGAATGAATGAGGACAAGAGGGTTTAGTTTCGATGGGTGGAATTAATTTGGAATCGGGCAAAATAACCTAAAAAAAAAAAAAAAAAAAAAAAAAAAATAATAATAATAATAATAATAATAATAATAATAATAATAATAATAATAATAATAATAATAATAATAATAATAATAATAATAAGATTAAGATTATGCAGAAATTTGATAAAACAAGCTTACCCGAAATTCAGCAGAACAACCGTCAAAAAAAAAAAAAAAAAAAAGGAAGAACTGAATTCGATATTGCCGAAAATTCTTCTACAGAAGACTTGACGACCAAATATTGATGAATGAAAGATTGCGTAGGGGGTCTTTTTATAAGCATGGGTGGGTGAAAACCAATTAATACTAGGATTAGAAGCAACCAATCAAAAAGGAGTTACAAATTGAGTAAGAGAATGACTCTCGGTGGATTTGAATATAAATCTGCTATATGAAGTTTTGCTAAAGTAAAATTGTTTCTAATTATTTTCTAGTCAATGATGCCAAACCCCATTAAAATTATATTAATTCCTTAAGGGCATCTCCAATGGAGTCTCTAAACTCCATTTGGCTGCATAATATAGAAATTGTGCACCAAAATCCAACACCAACAAGAAAATTTAATGGGCTCTAAATTTTCAGATTTTTGCAAAATATGCAAACTTGGTTCTAAATTTAGGTATTGGTTTGGAGACTCTGATTTTATGGGACCCATCTTCAAACAAAACAAAATTTCTTGAATTTAAATTTTGAATTTAATTTTTTAAATTAAAATTAAAATTTGAATGATTTGCAAATATGACCGTTGGTTTTCAACGGTAAGAAAAATATTGAAAAAAGCATAAATACCTCTAATTGTTCTTCAACTTCTTCATCTTCTTCATCACTTCTAAATCTTCAGATTATGAGTTTTTTTTTTCTTTTTTTTTTCTCTTCAATACTTGTAGAAATTGGAAACTTGGTTGAGTTTATGGCTCGGAGAATGGAGAAATTAGAAGTAGGGGGTTGGGTTTTACTTGAATTCTTGAAATAATTAGGAGCAAATTTTTTTTTTCTTTCTCTGTTACGCTGCGTGAACAGAGTGAAAATTGGGGAAGAAGAGGCGAGGGGTTAGGTTTAGAAAAGAGAAAAGAAAAAAAAAAGAAAAAAAAAAGAAAAAAAAAGGAAAATACGCATATTGGAGGTCAAAGGCGGTTTACATAGTGGAGATTTATAAATCTCTTAATTATTAAGCATTTAATTAGTATTTAATTAGTATTTAATTAGTTACTCAAAACTATTTAATTAGTCTTTTTTTAGTAATTAGTTTATTTTGTATTTAGGTTTAATAAATTTAATTCTTTTATATTTAGTTTAATGACTTATTATTTAATTATTTTTTAACAGCAATGGAAGATCTTGAAGGAAGTTCAAGGGGTCGTAATTTTTCTTCTGACGAGGATGCATCTTTGTGCCGAGCTTATATAGCGATTAGTGAAGATCCACTTATTGGAAAAAATCAATCAATGACTACAATGTGGAAGCGAATACAAGAAAAATTTCACGAGTTGGTTCCTGATGGAGGTGAAAAGAGAACAGCAAAAAGTCTGAAATCCCACTGGACGAAAATCAATCAAAGTTGTACAAGATTTGCTGAATGTGTTGCTCAAATAACTTTGAGGCCAAGAAGCGGAGCAAATGCCATTGACAATGTGAGTGCTATTTATGTTGTGTTTTTTTATTTATTATTTAATATTTTATATATTAAATGTTTGTTATTTTTGTTATTCATAGTTGGATGACGCAAGACTACTATACTTTAACTTGGATCATTGCTGGACAATTTTACAAGATGGCAAAAAATGGAGGGCTATCATCGGAGTTCAATTCTCCCAAAGTGCAAATATCACTTCAAGTCCGAACATATTTTCTAGTCCGAGTGAATATGGAGGGGATTCGGTGCCGAAGACCCAAAATTTACCTGAATCATCAAACACCAACGTAAGGCCGATGGGGCACAAAAAAGCTAAAAAAACAAAAAGATAAGGGCACTGTAAATGATACCACGAGACAAGTTGATTCAATGGCAAAAGTAATGAGGGATTACCAAGAAAAATTTGAGATTAAAACAGATTTCAAAATTATGATGACGAGCAGGTCCTCAGTTGAAACCCCGGAGAGGAAAGCATGGTTGATTGAACAACAAAATGCCATTATTGCAAAAAGGTCATCTCGTTCACTGAATTTTGATGATGGTGTCTATCACCCCGAAATGCCTCCATCTGATTAAGCATCTTGATGTTATTTTAATGGTTTAATTTTCTAAGTATCGTTGATTATCTTAAATGTCGTTATTTTAATTGTTAATTTGAATTTTTAGTAATGTGTAATAAGTTATTAATATTAATGTTAATTTTTTTTATATAATTTCAAATATTGAGTTTATAGACAATCAATTAAAACGAGAATTAATATGGTTGACCCAAATATCCTTTAAAATACAAGGAACAAAACAAAAAAAAAACAAGATAATGAATAACCATCTTACAACATGATTACAACGATAAAAATTAAACATTTAAATTTCCATCTCGATACTCTTTCCAGACATGCTCGACGAGATCATTTCGGAGCATAAAATAGCGAGTTGTATCTGTAAGTGCGGCACGATTGCTTAAATTTTCTGCAATCGTTATCGGGTCTCGATCAACAGGTTGCTGCTGCACGTGCTCGACAAAATCGTCACCTTCTTGATTGCGGTTGTCTTCCACAATCATATTATGAAGAATTATACAACATTTCATAACTTCACCAATTTGTGCATTGTGCCATAATCGACAAGGTCCTGTAATAAACTCAAATCGAGATTGGAGAATGCCAAAAGTTCTTTCAACATCCTTTCGATATGCCTCTTGCAACCTCGTAAATAATTGTTTATCGCGTGCTTGTGGATCGGGAATTGCTTGAACAATAGTTGACCAACGTGGATATATACCATCTGCTAGATAATATCCTTGCTTGTATACTCTACCATTTATAGTAAATTGAATATTTGTGGCTAGACCTTCGACAACATCATTGAAAATAGGTGAGCTATATAATACATTAAGATCATTACACGCACCTGGTGGACCGAAGTATGAATGCCAAATCCAAGTATCATATGATGCTACGGCTTCAAGTATTATTGTAGGTTTGCCATGGCGCCCATAATATGTACCAGCCCAAGCGGTGGGACAATTTTTCCATTCCCAATGCATACAGTCCAAACTTCCTAGCATTCCAGGAAATCCCCGTTGCTCTGCTTTTTTAAGTAGTCTAACCATGTCTGAATTGTTAGGTCGTCGAAGATACTCCTCTCCATACACTGCATTGACAGCACGACAAAAATGCTTCAAAGTATCTGAAGATGTGCTCGCTGCTATTTTTAGATACTCGTCAATTGCATCTGCAGGATATCTGTAAGCGAGTATACGAAGTGCAGCTGTCATCTTGACATGGGGTGAGAAGCCTTGATTTCCGGAGGCATCCGGCTTTTGCCTAAAGTAATCGTCAAAATTCACAATATCATTCATAATTCGTAAAAATAATTCACGCCTCATACGATTTCTATTTCGAAAATATTCAGGAGGATATAAAGGACGATCTACAAAGTAATCATTCATAAGTCGCTCATGCGCAGCTCTTCGATCCCTTCTTATGGAATTCCGGCGTGATGATGTTCCTCCGTGTTGTATTTTGCACTTTCCCTGTGAAGCCAACATGAGTGATTGGTATTCCACATACATCGTCGTCATCATTGTGTTACCTTGGTTGTCGTCGTCAGAGGAGGAATTGTCGCTTCCTTGTTGTGCCATTTTCTTTTTATAAATATGTAGCTGGATTGTATATAGAATGTAAGGTGATTGTGTATAGAATGTGTGGTGATTGTGTAAGGGGTGAGGAGTAACATTATATAAGAAAATGAAGAGATAATAGATAAGAATTGGATGACCAAGATTGAACATGAAAATTCAATCTAATGGATTGTACTTGGATAAGATAATGAAAATCTGAATAAGATCATCAAGATGTGGATAAGATGATTAGATAAAAATTTAACGGTCGAGATCAATTGAAATCATATCCAATGATTGTAGTTTAATATTTCAGATAATTTCAGAATTTTTCATGGAGGAGATGTGAATAAGATAATTAGATAATAATTTAATGGACGGGACATATTCAACGGTTCTAGTTCAATATTTCATATCTTTTCAGAAATTTTCATTTTTTGGATCAAAATGTGTATTAAAAATAATTAAGATTGTTCAAATAAAATTTAACTGTCTACAATCTTGTGTACGTTTGGTTTACAATTCTAGTCCGCATCCTACTGGACTTCAACCAATTGTCGGGCCGAATTGATCAAATGACAGCTGCGCTCAAAATTATATATATTCTCCGGAATAGATGCCCAAGAACAGACACGTGAGGGGTAATTAAATCATGAAAGGCAAAAAATATATTTACGAATCGACTCAATATATTCGTGACTTATTCACTTCAAGACGCATCGTCTGTAAATAAGTCTCGAGGGGGCATTTGTAGACAAAAGAAATTTAATGGCTAAATTAAATTCTACGGGGCATCGAAGATATGTGCCGTGTAAAGTGGCGTACCAGTCTTATCAATTATATATTTTTCTATTTTAATTTTAGGAATTTAATTAAATTAATTCCTAATTTAATTGATAATATATATATATATATATATATATTAAATATCAATTATAAGTTTTCTATTTTAATATTAGGAATTTTGTGAAATAAATTCCTAATTTAAATAGATAATTGATTTTTAAATATATATTGACCAATATGATTATTTCTTTTCTCCCAAGTTATAAGAGATAAAGATCAATTAATTATTGGCCAATAAAATTATTTCTTCTCTTCCAAATTACAAGAGATAAGTATCAATTTAAATCGGGCCAATCAAATCGCGCCACATCATCAGTAAGGCCCATAAATGACTCTTATTCTACCACTATAAATAGGGATCCTCCCTTCACAATTCAAACACAACTGAAGGAACAGAAACCGTAGGAGCAAAAATTCTCTCTACAATTCAAGAAGTAAGGAAGAAGAATTCGTAGGAGGTAAGATTCTTTCTCTACATTCAAAATGTTCTTCGTCAAATTCGAGGCATTCTTCATCTCGTCAAATTCGAGGCATTCTTCATCAAATCCAGCGTCAAATTCGAGGCATTCTTCATCAAATCCAGCGTTCGATCCGAGATAACGGTGTCAAACCTTCGGATTAACGTTAATCAATTCAAGTCAAGATCATTGGAAGGGCCAAATCCATCAAAAATTTCAAGATCTTCAAATCAAATTTAGTCAAAGTTCAACATTCGATCCAAGATTCAAGTCGCAAGACCCTTGGAAAACGTTATTCAAATCCAAAATAGAGATTGTAACCTGCAATTTATTTATTTTAATTCAATAGAATTATTTTTGTTCAATTTTTATCTTTGTTAAATTTTTCTTGTTTGTTTATATCGCAGATAAGAATTTGTTGTTACAACAGCTTTTGACTTAAATATTGTAATGTGTATAATATAATAATAAAAAAGGATTGCAATAGGTGGTAACGTAACTATCCAAAAATGTTAGGGCTGATTTTATAATTAAAGGAAAATAGGAGGAAAGAATGGTGCAACAAAGCAATATTTTGCTAGGAGGAAAGAATGGTGCAACAAAGCAATATTTTGCGAAATGTGTATAATATAATAATAAAAAGGGCTTACAAGGAGTGGAAATGTTGCGAAATGTCAGGTGTATAATATAATAATAAAAAGGACTTGCAAGGAATGAAAATGTAATTATCAGACATTAGGGCTGATTTTGTAATTAAAAAAAAAAAGGGAGGAAATAATAGGTGGAGCAAGCAATATTTTAAAGGGAAAATTTGTCAAACCCCCCTCATCACATAAGTGTAGTTACAATAGGCCCAAATTTATTTCCCATTTTAAAGATAAATCCAAAAAAAACATATTAATAAAAAATAATTAATTATCACCATTATACCCCTAATTAATTTATCTAAATCATATGGTGGTGTATATATATATATATATATATATATATATATATATATATATTGTATACACAATTTTGTAAAGTGAAATTAATGACAACAATACGACTAAATGTATATATAAACCGACAATGAATTTAATACACAATATTATATACACAATAATGAAAGGTGTCTCTCTCTCTCACACATCTGCATATTATCAAGATTCATTCTTCATCTTCATCCATTTTAACTCTACTTTCTCTCTCCCTCTCTTTCACACACACATACATTATAATGGTAATTCTTTCACTAATTCCATTCTTGACAATCTCTATATTTGATAGGGCCCAGTTTGTCAACCTAACCATTTGTAATGGGCCCGGGTGCGAAAAGGATAGCCCGCATAGGGGTTGGGCTAAGTGGGACGAATCTCGGGACAACTAAGCCCAAATCGACCTATCGAGCAAAGCTCAGCCCATAAGATGGCGTATGGTTTTCTCTCTAACACGCTCAAACAAGGCCCAGAGGAATTGAACGTGGGCGAGAAAACATGGCCCAAGCGAGTTAAGAGGGCGCGATTTCAGCATGAGAATGAGAGGGAGAGGCAATCAGATCTTCTATATAAGGCCCAAGATCAAGACCAAGGAGGAGAGACGGGAGTAATGGACGAAATCTGTCCCCTTAATTGCCGGGAACAATTAGCTTATAAAGACCTTTGTAATCATCGTCGAAGGACACGGATATACAACAGAAAAGAAAAAGACAAAAAGAAAGAAAATAATAAAAAAAGATCAATAAAGATTTTTATCGTAATAGAATTTTTACCGGAAGATTCATAACTAGGGTCCCGGTGGAGAATTCTTGAAGGTGCGAACTTTCGACACCTTCAAGTGGCGCCGTCTGTGGGAAGATTAGCGAGTCAGAGCTAGGGCGTGAGTAATATCATGAAGGGAGAAGGCATCACGAAACGGTTAGAAACCGAATTGGGGACTAAAACTCCTCCCACCAAGAATTCGAGGGATATCATGGATGTATCCCCACAGGAGATCCTCCCGAATAAAACATCTATAGGCGAAATGTCCGATCGGAACAATCCGAATAACAAGGAGGCCCATGGGGACAAAACCAAAGAAACCACTCAAAGTCTCATGGATCTGTTAGATCAGCAAATCGCTTTGGGTGTAGAACAACGAAGACTAGCAATACACAAAGAAGAAGTCCACAAGCTCGAAGGCGAACTAAAGGAGGCTCGAGAGAACGAAAAGAAAGAAGCGTCGGCCGCAGAAAGAAGCGCGAGAGAAGAAGAATATTTGTCGATCAGATCGCTGCTCAGAAGGAGAGCATCCGAAAGCTTGAACAGGAACGCGAGAATGGTGTCCTTCAAATGGAAGATATGAAGAAAGAGCTCGCCCAGTTACGAGAACGACGAATGCATACCCAGGGAGAGCCTCCATCTGGCGTGCCACGAGAAGAGCGAACACACGTAGATCGTTCGGAAGGAAGAGGAGATAGCTTCAGTTCCATGGAGCAAGAAGATGCAACTAAAGAAAGAAGAAATGCTAGGGAGGTAAGGCAACACCACATTAATCGACCGATTGATATCATAGAGGCCGGGCCGTTCGCATGGAATATCTTGCAAGATCCACTGCCATCCACATTCACCCCTGTGGGTTTTTTCTATGATGGAATAGGCGATCCTTTGGATCACATGTACCGATTCAAAAGTATAGCAACACTGCACTTGTATACGGATGGAATACGATGCCGCGTATTCACTACCACGCTAATAAAGAATGCTCAACTTTGGTTCAACAGCCTGCCCAGAGGGTCCATCACCTCTTTTGAAGATTTTAGCACAAAATTCCTGCGCAACTTCTCAAGTTCAAAGAAACAGCAGAAAACCGCGATGGCTTTATTCAGACTTAGGCAAAGAGAAAGAGAAGATTTGCGCGAATACGTGAAGCGTTTTTCCGCAGAGAAGTTAGAAATCCCCGTGACACCTCCCGAAATCCTCGTTAGCGCATTCATCCAGGGATTGCAAGATGGCGATTTCTTCCGATCACTAGCCAAAAGAAACGCCTCAACCTTCGCAGAATTGTTGGAACGTGCAGAGAAATACATCAATTTAGAAGAATGTCGCCGGATGAAAGAGGGAGAACGTTCCAGAGATACGGGAAATAGCGACAAGCGCATCGTGCGGGCTCCACACAAGGGCAACGAACAATTTCGAAGTAATGTTCGTTCGTTAATGGAAATACAAGAAGAACAACCGGAGGCACATTACCCCCCTAGCGCGAGAAGACACAACCAGTTCCCTACATCAGGAGGACCCAGATTCAAAATAGGAGATCCCCGGTTCGACAGGTATACGGAGCTCGCTTTACCCAAATCTGTTATTCTCGAGCGTATAGCCAAACACCCAAAACTACGATGGCCAAGGGGGCATAGCGAACCACCAAGGGGAACAGCAGTCGCGAGTGGATATTGTCACTTCCATAATGATTATGGTCATGAGACCAATGAGTGCTTCACCTTACGGGATGAATTAGAAAGGTTGGTGCGATTAGGGGCCCTGTCAGAATATGTCATGGAAGAAAGTTCTAAAGGAAGAAGGGACAGCGAGAAAAGGCGAAGAGATGAAGAGGATGAAGTAGAACCAATAATAAAACGGGGGTTCATCAGTATGATCATTGGCGGCCCGACAGACGGAGATTCAAATCGAGCGCGACGTTACCGCCTTCAAACCATCAAGAAAGCCGAGGTAAACCAAATTAGCGTTAAGGCTGAAGCTCATCCCATTATTTCCTTCGGACCTCACGATTGCTGCGCCCTAGACACGCCGCACGCAGACGCACTGGTGATAACCTCCAACGTCGCTGGTTATGATGTCTCGAGGATCTTCGTGGATAATGGTAGCTCGGTGAATGTTCTATTTCATGATTGTCTACAGCGCATGGACCTCGAAGTGGACGTCGCCCCAGTATCCACAATGTTATATGGTTTTAATGGAGGGTCAGTTCGTCCGTTGGGCCAAGTGAAGCTTACGGTGTCTCTAGGAACGGCCCCACTCGTGAAAATTAAAACAGTTAATTTTATGGTGGTAGATGCGCCCGAATCCTCATATAATATGATCTTCGGGAGGCCCATGATTAATACCTTCCGGGCGATACCTTCAACATACCACATGAAGCTAAAATTTCCTGTAGGGAGTGAAGTCGGAGAGGTCATTGGAGACCAAACGAGCTCACGGTCGTGTTACGTAGAATCAGTTCGTCAAGGGGAAAAGAGCAAAAGAGTCAGAGAATCGCAAGGCGGAACCATAGATGGGAAGAAAGTACGAACCAACACAGCGGAGGCAACGCCGATCCACACTAGCACCAGCGAAGAACTTATAGAGGTCAAAGTCATACCCGATCGCCCAGAATGCGTCACGCGAATAGGGTCTAGTCTAGATGGAGAAATGAAGGAGCAGCTGATTGGTTTGTTGCGAGACAATTCGGACGTGTTCGCATGGAAATCGGAAGACCTCACTGGAATAGACCCAAGCATCATGGTCCATAAGCTACACATCAACACGAAGGTCCGACCAGTGAAGCAAAAGAAGAGGCATTTCGGAGCCATCAAAGATGCTATCATCAAGGAGGAAGTGGACAAACTCCTACAAATCGGACACATACGCGAAATCCAATTCCCCGAATGGCTTTCAAACGCTGTTCTAGTAGCTAAACCAGGCGGTAAATGGCGTATGTGCATAGATTTTCGCGACCTCAACGCCGCATGTCCTAAAGATCACTATCCACTACCCAGGATAGATCAGCTGGTAGATGCCACGGCAGGATGCGAATTACTGAGCATGATGGACGCATCGCAAGGGTATCATCAAGTCAGACTAGACGTCATAGACCAACCCAAGGTTAGTTTTATCACATCGGGAGGCACATACTGTTATCAAGTTATGCCGTTTGGTTTAAAAAATGCGGGTGCGACATATCAGAGGCTAGTAGACAAGGTGTTCGCTAAGCAATTAGGGCGAAATCTAGAGGTATATGTGGATGATATGCTAGTAAAAAGTCGCGAGGCCACATCACACATAGCTGACCTCGCGGAGACCTTCTTGACTCTTCGAAGATATGGCATGAAGTTGAACCCTGCTAAATGCTCTTTCGGAGTCTGCACCGGAAAATTCCTGGGATATATGGTCACTAAACAGGGCATAGAGGTCAACCCGGAGAAAGTGAAAGCGATCACAACAATGACTGCGCCAAGGACAATCAAAGAAGTACAAACGCTGGCGGGGAAAGTCGTAGCACTCAGTCGGTTTGTGTCACGTCTCGCCGAACACAGTTTCCCTATTTTTCGAGCATTACGAAAGGGGAAAGAGTTCGCCTGGACGAAGGAATGTCAAACCTCCTTCGAAAATCTGAAGCAAGTCCTTTCGAAACTCCCTTCGCTATCCCCCCCAGAAGAAGGAGAAACCCTCTGCATGTACTTAGCTGCAGGGGATGAGTCCATCAGCTCAGTATTGTTCAGAGAAAAAGATAAAAAACAGTTGCCCGTGTATTACGTAAGTAAAATCTTGCAAGGCGCCGAACTTCGCTATCCCGAAGTCGAAAAGGTCGGCCTGGCACTCATAACAACAGCAAGGCGATTAAGACCATACTTCATATCCCATACTATAATAGTAAGGACCAGCTATCCTCTACGACAGACATTAGGGAACGCCGAAGCATCGGGGCGCATGGTCAAATGGGCCGTGGAATTAGGCCAGTACAATGTCGAATACGAGCCCCGGACCGCAATAAAAGGGCAGGCACTGGTAGATTTTCTGCAAGAAACTACGCGCATTGAGAACTCGCAGCCATGGGAGGTATATGTGGACGGATCTTCCACAAATCAAGGCGCCGGAGCAGGTGTGTTGCTTATAAAACCCAACAAAGAAGAATTCCACTTTGCTATAAAATTCAATGTTAGAGCATCAAATAACGAAGCCGAATATGAGGCCTTGGCGCAAGGACTGGAGATAGCACAAAAAATGGGAATAAAAAAAGCCAAAGTCCACTCCGACTCTCAATTAGTGGTACAACAACTGGCGGGTGAATACGAGACCAAGGATGTACGGATGGAAGCATATGTGAAAGTTATCAAGACATTGGTCGAAGGCTTTGAAGAGTGCGAAATCATCCAGATCCCGCGAGAATCAAACTCACAAGCTGATTTCTTGTCCAAAATTGGCAGTTCATCCGTGGATTGCAGCGAGCGGAATATAACCATATTATCAACTTGCGGACGATTTTTTGAAAGTAATAGCGAAAAACTTGTTGCAAGGGTGGAAGATCAGGAAGATTGGCGAACACCAATCATTACTTACCTTAAAGGCAATACAATCTCAGATCGACGCACGCGAGAACGAATAGAATACAAGGCCCGGCATTTTTATTTAATAGGCGAAACGTTGTTTAAGAGATTATACTCGCATGTAGACGCAAGGTGTCTAGGAAGCAGCGAAGCTGAATACGTGCTGAAAGAAGTACATGAAGGATGGTGTAGCAACCATGAAGGAGCAAGAACAATAGTACAAAAGCTGTTAAGGGCAGGATACTACTGGCCTACAATGAAGATGGAAGCCACGCAATTTGTAAGACAATGCCCTAATTGTCAAGCACATGCCATAGTAGCACGTCAGCCAGGCGAACCTATGAAAATCATATCGTCACCATGCCCTTTCGCGCAATGGGGGATCGATCTGGTGGGCCCCTTTACAATGGCGGTTCGCAGAAAGAGGTACCTTATCGTAGCTGTAGACTATTTTACAAAATGGGTGGAGGCCGAGGCGTTATCGCGAATCACTGAAGATGAGGTAATGAAATTTATTTGGAAAAACATTTGTTGCCGGTTCGGAGTCCCCAGAATTATTATATCGGATAATGGCACACAGTTCAACGGTAAAAAGATAACGGGATGGTGCACAGAGATGAAGGTCGCCCAACGTTTCACATCCGTGGCACATCCACAAGCAAACGGGCAAGTCGAAGTAATCAACAGAATCTTGGTGGACGGTATAAAGAAACGCATTGAAAAGGCAGGCGGTGGTTGGGTAGAAGAATTAGACTCGGTTCTATGGTCTTATCGGACATCACCTAAAAGGGCTACCGGAGAAACACCCTTCAGCTTGGTTTATGGGATGGAAGCGATCGTGCCGGCCGAGATAGGCCTGGAATCATTAAGGGTTCGCGAATATGATGACAGGGAGAATGAAGAAATGATGCGAGAACACTTAGATCTTTGCTACGATAAAAGAGAAGCAGCAGACTTGAAGATGAGAGATAGCAAAAATCGCATTAAAGTCAGCTACGACCGAAAAGTCAACCCGAGAAATTTTCAAATAGGCGATCTCGTATTACGGCGAGCCGATGCACTGAAACCCACGGGCAAGTTAGAGGCTAATTGGGAAGGTCTCTACACAGTAACGAAGGTCGCAGCGGGTGGCGCCTACGAGTTACAAGATCGAAAAGGCAAAAAAATACCAAGAACATGGAATGTATGCCACCTTAGGAAGTTCTACGCATAGCAGATCGCGACGACAGGTTAGCAAAAAAAAAAAAAAAAAAAAAAAAAAAAAGTTGTAATTCTCTTCAATAAGTGGATCTTTTCGCACATGGGTCTCGGCCCCGTGGTTTTTCCTTTCACTTCGGGAGGTTTCCACGTAAAAAAAATCTTGCGTCTTGTCTCTCTTTTATTATTATTTTATTTTTATCGTAAAAAAAAAAAAAAAAAAAAAAAAAAAAAAAAGGAAAAGGGGAGAAGGAAAGGGTTGGAAGATCCCCGTGGCTATGGCCCAAAAGGTAGTCGCGAACATATAGAAAGGGTTGGAAGATCCCCGTGGCTATGGCCCAAAAGGTAGTCGCGAACATATAGAAAGGGTTGGAAGATCCCCGTGGCTATGGCCCAAAAGGTAGTCGCGAACATATAGAAAGGGTTGGAAGATCCCCGTGGCTATGGCCCAAAAGGTAGTCGCGAACATATAGAAAGGGTTGGAAGATCCCCGTGGCTATGGCCCAAAAGGTAGTCGCGAACATATAGAAAAGGGTTGGAAGATCCCCGGGGCCTCGGCCCGAAAGGTAGTCGCGGTAATGCAAAGAGCTCCAAAAAAAAAAAAAAAAAAAAAAAAAAAAAAGGGGAAGAAAGTCATAAGACCGTAAAGATGATATATCCCCAAGACCACAGCAAGGAGACAAGCTCGCGAAACGATCCCTGAGAACCTGGAAAGATCAACCAGTTCGTGCGCGCTGACCCAGCAACATACAAAATAACAAGCCATACCAACAGAAACAAATCGCAAGGTATGAAAACAGATCCCATAAAATAGCAAAAATAGCATAAATAGTATTAGTTTAGAACAACGAGCACAAAAATCACAAAAGGGAACATTGAAACTCCCACATATTTTAAGAAAAACTATCCCTAATCTATGCGGGTGAACCTTCGGCGAGATCATCTGGAGTCGCATCACCTTCATCATCAGCAGCGTTATAGGCATCAACGGCGTTTCCCAGAGCGTCCTCTTCAGTATCTCTTCTGACAGCCGCCGTCGTCGAAGGACCAGCCTGGTCGGAAGGGCGAGGACATAGTTGGTTCGCAACGGACGAAAAGATTGGCACCCACCAAGCTAAGTTCGCGGGCTCGGAAGGATCCCCTCCCCAACCGGGAATGTTCTGGCTGGCTTTCTTTGACATCTCCTTTTCGTCTAGCTTCAGCGAGAACCCCGCAGCATCGATCTCTGTTTGTGCAATCCGAATCCCTTCTGACCAGAAGAACTTGGAAACAGGAAGAGCCCTCCGGAAGAAAAGCATGGATTTCCAAAGTCTTGCCAGAAAAGCCCCCACAAACTCGTCCCTAAATCGCTCTCCAAGGGGGGTATGAAGGAACTCCATCCGACCCACACGGCGACCTTCTTCATATCGCAGGGAGCTGTTGTCCATGGCTTCGGATAGTTGGCTAAGGGTATGCTTATGCTCCTCCTCCATCAAAGCCATCTTATCTTTGAGCGAGTCGACCTCCACGCGCAAGCTGCTCATGTCCTCCTCCAACCTTTCATTTCGTTTCTCCACCAGTTGTTTCTCGTCACTTAGCTGCTTGCGATCCTTCTTCAACCGGTTATACGCCTCGCGGAGGGTATCACTCCGCTGAGAAGGGCAGGTGGCCCACAATGTTTGCAACTGTACAAGAACTAGAAGTATGAGGACGTAATCCTTCAAAAAAAAAAAAAAAAAAAAAAAAAAGGGGAATGGCCGACAGACCTTGGCCAAATGGTAATTAGAACGGTCAATGCGGTGGTCCAGACTCATCTTGCCCCATAACTCGCGATCTCTGGGGGTCGCCTGCTCACGAAATATCTTGCCGATCTCCGCACCATCCTCGCATTCAGCGAAGCTAAAGCCCTCTCTCACAGGAGTCAAGCCTAATTGGGCCTGCACCCCAGCACCCGCACTTGAGCTCAAGTCGATAATGTTTGGGGAATGATGGTCAGAAGAGGTGCGAACCCTTTTGCGGGACGAAGAACCCGTTGCGATCTCTTTCTTCTTACGTTTCTCCGAGATGTCCATCTCAGCGACAACATCAACATTATCAGGCAATATCGGTTGCGAGGAGGAATGTTGGACCAGATCGCCAATATGGGTGGGAACCACCGGATTCAGCTCGCCCTCGGGAAAGATATCAAATGAACTGTCTTCGCTGTAGAAGAGTTTGTTGAACTCCATTCCTAAAAAAAAAAAAAAAAAAAAAAAAAAAAAGGGGGGGGTCAGAGTTAATGGAAGACACATCGATACGCGCTGATAAAGGCATATAAGGAGAATGAAGCTATACTTATGTTGTGATAAGGAGTGGCGGTCGAGCTGAGCCATCTCAGGCCAAAATGTGTTAAGATGCGCGAATTCCGAGTTAATTTTTCCACATGAAACCAATCTGGGCGAACTAGATCTAGGAAGTTCCTCAAAGTAGAATCCATACGAGGTTTGTCAAAAGGAGGAGTTTCATTGATCATTCGAGTAGGAAAAGGAAACGGGGTAGAGGAAGAAATATAAACATAGTATCGATCCCAATAATGCACCTTATTGGGATACTTGTCCATAAACTTGGTACCAGCACGGGCGGCCAAATAAAACATATAGGGGGAATATTTCTTCGCAATAAAACAAGCGAACAAGCGATCAGCAGTCGGCTCTATTTTTTGCCACGCCAGAACACAATAGAAGACCGACATAAAGCGAATAGAATTGGGGTGGAATTGATTAATGGGAATACCGTACTTCTCAGAAACTGCGACGAAGAACGGATGGAGGGGAAGAGCGAGACCAGCATAGAATTGGCCTAAGTGAAAGGTGACACTGTTAGGAGGAGGAGAATGAGGTCGCTCGTTCTCGCGAGGAGTCGCAATAGAAAAGCCTGAAGGAAGGCCCACGTCGCGCATAAACAGTTCTATATGGCGAAGTGTCACGAGGGAACTCTCTGAAATTCCCGCTTCCCCTGATTGGACCTTTTTCCTAACCTTTTGAGTCACCGGCCGAGGCTCAAGGTTTATAAGGGGGCGAGATGTGTCAGAAAGTGTGTCGGAAGAGGAGTCAGATGAGGAAGAACTAGAAGACGAAGATGACAATATGACTAGAGAAGGATCCTCATTTGGAGGCAAGTTATGCTCGGCGGAAGAAGGGGGACGAAGAGATGACGATGAAGGATCAAAAGCCATGACACGACGACTCAAGAAATTACAAAGCAGAGAGGAAGTTTTTATAGACGTATTAAAGAATAAAGAAAATGAGGCAGAGAACGAAGAAGTACCTGATGCCTTAGAAAGAAAAGAAGGCTAAGGGATGCGCGAGGCTGGTTCTCACGATGAGCGAACTGGAATAAAAAAGGAGCGAGTAGCAAAAAGACGAGACGGAATAGTAAGTTTGGTAAAAGAAGTGGATGAAATGGAAGAGGAGGTATATATAGGGAGGGGGAAAAGGTAAGGTGAAACGATCCTGCAAAAGGGACCGTCGGATCAAACGGTGATGGAAGGCGGAGATTAAGACACGAGATCCGGGTAGCTGTAACGGGCGGAAAATCTTGAACAGGTGTCTCGTCACGGTTGGGCGGCGACAGCTATCGAAAAGACGAGAAGATGATACGTTCCCCACGTGCGAAGAACGCGGGACTCGAGACGCAGGGCAATAATGAAAAGCATTGGGAAGGGGCGCGTGTTCACAGAAATAAATACGTGGTGGAAAAAAGCTCGCACGATTAACGGTGTGAAGTTCGCGAATATGTTTCCAATTTTCTACGGTTCCCTCTCTCATTTCTATGTTTTAGTCCGCTCCAAGCATATTCTCTAGCGAACTATCTTTAGGTTCACTAGAGAATAGGGGGGACTAGATGATAGGGCCCAGTTTGTCAACCTAACCATTTGTAATGGGCCCGGGTGCGAAAAGGATAGCCCGCATAGGGGTTGGGCTAAGTGGGACGAATCTCGGGACAACTAAGCCCAAATCGACCTATCGAGCAAAGCTCAGCCCATAAGATGGCGTATGGTTTTCTCTCTAACACGCTCAAACAAGGCCCAGAGGAATTGAACGTGGGCGAGAAAACATGGCCCAAGCGAGTTAAGAGGGCGCGATTTCAGCATGAGAATGAGAGGGAGAGGCAATCAGATCTTCTATATAAGGCCCAAGATCAAGACCAAGGAGGAGAGACGGGAGTAATGGACGAAATATGTCCCCTTAATTGCCGGGAACAATTAGCTTATAAAGACCTTTGTAATCATCGTCGAAGGACACGGATATACAACAGAAAAGAAAAAGACAAAAAGAAAGAAAATAATAAAAAAAGATCAATAAAGATTTTTATCGTAATAGAATTTTTACCGGAAGATTCATAACTAGGGTCCCGGTGGAGAATTCTTGAAGGTGCGAACTTTCGACACCTTCAATATTAATCCAATTGGCGGACTCAACCATGCATTGGAGAGACATACACAATCACACAAAGCTCAGTTATAATGATAAATTTATATGATAAATAGTGATTTTTTTAATGGAAATTGTTAATTACATAATAATTTTCGTTAATTACAGAGTGGTTTTTATTAATCACAGAGTGGTTTTTGTTAATTGATAAGTTTATGGTGAATTTTTGTTAATGGAATCCGTTAATTACATAGTGATTTTCATTACATAGTGGTTTTCATTAATTACAGAGTGATTTTTATTAATTACAGAGTGGTTTTCATAAGTTTTAGTGAATTTTTGTAATGAAACTTGTTAATTATGTAGTGATCTTCGTTAATTACAGAGTGGTTTTCATTAATTATAGAGTGGTTTTTGTTAATTGATAAGTTTTTAGTGAATTTTTGTAATGGAGTTTGCTAACTACATAGTAATTTTCGTTAATTTACAGAGTGATTTTCATTAATTATAGAGTGATTTTTATTAATTACATAAAGGTTTTTGATAAATTTGTAATGAATTTTGGTAACAAAATACTATAATCACATAGTGATTTTTATAAGTTTATAGTGGATTTCAATTTGTTAAAAATAAATATATTTTTTTTTTAAATTTAACTTAATGTGAAAAAGAAAAAAAAACGCCAATTAATTAATGGAATGAGAAAGAGGCGTGATATGGGAGAGAATAGGGGGTGTGGGGGAGAAAATAGGGGGATTTGCATATCTACCAAAACAATAATGAATTTTTCAAAATAATATAATATGGTAATTTTCAATAATATTAAATAGGGACATTTTGGATAATTCGAGTCAATTGGATTTATAACAAATATCAATAAAAAAAGTTGGATTTATCAAGAAGTCAAAATTAAATAAGGGGTGTTTGTCATATAACCCCTATTTTAAAAATTGTTTTTTTTTTTCCTTTCTTTTTTCCCCTTCTTGACCCAAACAGATGCAGATTCCCTCCGTCCTCACCTTTTGTCTTCAAACAAGACCCCTATTTCTTTCATTTCGCAATTTTCTTCCTCGCTCTTCTTTATTCTTTATTTTCTTTTCGGTCATTAAATTTTTCGAGCAAACATCAAGATCCGGCTACCAAATACCAAGATCCGGCCACCAAGCACCAAGCTCCGACCACCCACGACTAGACCCACCCAATTTCAGCCATACACACAACATTTTGATCTCTATGACCGAATCGCCGGTTCCCGATTCTTTACCCGTCGAACCGGGCTCTGGACTTTAAACCCCGGCTTTGGTGGTTGGATCGGACCGCTTTACTGCCGGTTCGCGGTCGGACCGGGCGGTCCGGTCCGTATCTGACAACCATGCTCCTTATAAAGCCGCCACAGCCTCCTCTTTGCTCTCCACACCAAACCCAAACGGCGAAACCCCCAAACCCAAACGGCCAAACTCAAACTGCCAACCCAATCTCATTCATTCATTCATTCATTCATCCCTCCTCCACCACTGTCTAGTTCCTCCGCTACTCATTCAGGCTTTAACAGAGAGCCAGCCACTTTAATTGATTAATTGATTGAATACCAGTAGGGTGCGATCAAGATGGTGGAGTATGGTGGTCACTTTAATTGATTAATTGATTGAATACCAGTAGGGTGCGATCAAGATGGTGGAGTATGGTGGTCGACGAGGGGAAATACGGTGGGGCGATCAGACGCTTCTACCTCTGCGTCGCATCAAGCAATTCTCCGGCACCGTCTCTTGCTGGTAAAAAGAGGACTGACATATGATTTTTGCTTTTGTTTAAATTGCTTGAACTTCAATTAGTAGTTTATTGTATCAGCAGTATAATCACGTGAATCATATAGGTATTGTGATTTCAAGTTTTCGGCCCTCAATGAACCCTTGTTTCGTTTCGGTCGGCGACACTCTAGGTTGTGCTTCTGTTTTTCTTCTTTTCCCCTTTCATTCATTGTGATTTTGGGCTAACGGGAATATAGTATCTTCTCCTTGTCCCTTGCAGGTCCCTGCGGGTATGGTTCTCCATAGGAGTCGTATTTAGTTTGGCGGCTTTACTTGGAGTCACACTAGTCAGTGGCTGATCTTCAACTTTGTCTTCTTTTTTTTCCTGAACTAAGAGAATTGTTTACGATGGCTTTTACCCTTAATCTTACATTGTTCTTTGTTTCCATTTATTTTTTATTTTCAGATTATTCTATGTGAATTGGTCCGAATAACACTTGTATGCGCCGGAAATACCTGGACGGGTAACTCCTTGTTTGGGCTTGCCTCTGTGGTTAGTAATAAATCATTTGCCCTACTCCGCTCTTAGGTAGATGTTTGAATTTCATCTACCGAGAAGTCAAGTTATGTGAAACTGAAGTGTCTTGATTTCAACATTTCAATGTCACGGGAGTTATTTATATAACCAGAAATAAGGTCACAACTGTTATATTTGGTTTATCTCTAACTTGCACGTACTTCTATCAGTCTATGTATTACTAATAAACAGTGAGATGTGTAGAACCTATGGCAACTTTATTTGTTATTATTACTCTTTGTAATTTGAATGAGTATTAGCTAGTTAAGAAGTACTTTAGAAATATTTGGTCATTTGGCATTTGTTGTTCCCACATTTTATTACTTTTATTGTTACATTCGTACTTACTCTTTATGCAGATTGGCGGGTTGCACATTTCACTTCCCAATATGGTATATTTGTGCTTATCTTCTGTCATATGCGTATTTGTTCATGAGCTTGGGCATGCTCTTGCAGCAGCAAGGTAAGATTCATCTCCTTTCGTTCTAAACATGCATTGATGCTGAAAGAATTTAAAATAGCATGTCCTTTAGTTGTCATTCCCCTATGTAGTGCCTACATGTAGTTCTAAAATCTTTTTTTTTAAATGTCCTCATTATTAACTCTCAATTTATGATAACATGGTCTCAAATCAACTTAAGTCTTACTTAGGTATTTTTTATTTTTTATTTTATTAGAACACAATTTACTTATTTAATTTATTAAAATATTATTCTACCCCTTAATCAAAACTACCAACATTCTCAATAAAATATTTCATTTCTTGTTATTAATAAAAAAAAAAAATCACGCTAATCAATTTTATACCGCCTGATTTAATATAGAATAAGTTACAAATTACGATCATTAAACCCTCTACTAGTAGTGCAAGCGTCAAAACTACGAAAGATAATTCATCAGTTGAAAATTGTCAACATTTTTTGTATAGCACTTTGATGGTGGCAATTATGATCTTAGACTACAGACCATGCAGCATCCGGTGTCCGCAAGTACTAACATTGTTACCTGTAAATCATGAATAAGATAAACTCGTTGAGATTGTTCCAGCCATAACCAGTTTGAAAATATTCCTTGATGAACTAAGAAAGAAACAAAAAAAAAAGGTGTAGAAGTTATGCAATTTTCACATTCATGTAAATTATATCATCTTAAGAATTGGGGAATAAGCGAGTTTGTTGGCTAGAGGATCTACCTCACAATGATTGCTGCAATTTCTTTGGTGCAGTGAGGGTGTGCACGTCGAGTATGTTGCTATCTTTTTGGCGGTGTTGTTTCCAGGAGCTTTGGTGGCTTTCAATCACTCATCATTGCAGGCATTACCTTTGGTTGCATCTCTCCGTATATATTGTGCTGGTATTTGGCACAATGCGGCGGTAAGTGTGAGTATTATTTGTCCTCAAATGTTATGTGTAATTTACATACCAGTAGCAATGTATGCTGCCAGATGCTGGAACAGGATGGACTTATTGTTATCTTCTGCAGTTTTGTGTTGGTTGCGCCCTGGCATTAGTCCTTCTTCCCTTCATCTTCAGTCCATTCTACGTACACGGTGAAAGCCTAATGGTGTAAATTTGTAGTTACATGATTTTGTTGAATTATTTCTGAATGATCCGTAGCCAAGTCATTTGTTAAACCAAAACGACTTGTGATTCCGCCACAGGTTCTGGATGTGCCATCTATGTCACCATTATACGGTTATCTCTCACGTCATGATGTTGTATTTTCTTTGGATGGCATCCGTATTCATACTACAGAAGAGTGGAAGCAGACGATCACTATGTTGACTGAGCAGACTTACTCGCTTAGCTCTGATCAACCTAGTGTAAATTTAAATGTTGAAAATGGTTATTGTATTCCTCAATCTTTGACTAAGGAGATTGCTCAAGTTCAGTTTAAAGGGAATCAAACATATTGTCCAAAAGAACTCATTGCCTTTGCATCGATGACCTGTCTGGATGTGGAAAAGCATACTAATGATGCCAACCGAAACAATCATCAAAGAAGAGAAAATATTCACTGTTTGGATGCTAAGGATGTGATAAAGCTTAAAAAATGTGCCTACCCTAATTTTAAGGAGCAAGCTTTAACAAATGGAAGTAGCTGTCTTTGTTCAGAGGTGATATACCTTACAAGTTACAAATATCCAAAAATCTATTGGTAATGATACTTGTATATTGTCTATGACACTTGTGGCACAGGTAGAGTCATGCTTGACGCCTATGCAGCTGCCAGGTCTACGGTGGGTTGAGATAACATATTCAACTTTGGAATGCCACAGTCGTAGAAGAAGTTTATTTTCTCCAGAAAAGCATTCTAGCAGTGAAAAAACAAGCTGTCTTCAGACATTTGTCTATGTTGGTGATCTGATCACTATGGCAAATTCCATCCATTTGACTTCCTATCTGCCTCGTTGGTCAATTTATTTCATGGCATATCTTCCAAATTTATTGGAGAAACTATTCGCATATGCCTTCCATGTCTCTATGGGACTTGCTCTCTTGAACAGCCTGCCGGTAAGTCAGAAAACCATTTTATGTTTGACCTATTTGATAACTGGTAACTGTAGCATGCATTATTGTAGGAACACTGTATTTTCCTGTTTGTGAATGTTGGTAAGATGCTTGGCCTAATATTGGAAGGAAATTATCTTGTTAATATACATACTGAATAGCTAGTTCTTGTTAATATTCTCGGAGTTCTCCACAAATAATGCCAGTTTGTTCTTGGACTATCCAGGATTACAAACTTATTACTGACAGAAAGGGTTGTATGAGATCCATATCCTTGGATCTTTCAGATATTGGTTTGTTTTCAGTGTAGGTTTGCATTTGTCGTGGAAAAATAATAATCTTCTGAAAAGTTAATGTATGAAAAATATACTAGTAACAATTTGGCCCATTAGGTGACAGCATGCTTCTTCTACCATCCAATGCTCCTGTTTTATGCAACTGGGAAAGGGATTGGAAAAATTATCGCTATTCCACTTGTTTTTCTAAGATTGCTATCAAACATGTTAAAACATATCAGTCTATGTTGGAATTGTGTTTCTGAGGAATTCGCCTTTTGCTCATAATGCTTGGTATGTCTCTTTGTCGGATTCTGGAATTGTTTTCATATGTATCTCTTCAGTAGGAACTTAAGGATCTGCTGAAACTTACATGTTTAGCTTTGCTTTGGGATCTTAATGTGTTCAAGGTTGTCATTATCAAGTAGAGATTCTGTTGAAAGCCATTGATTTGCGATATTTGAATATCTTTTTATAAAATCATCAGGTGTTTTTTCTTGACGGGGAATACATTTTAGAAGCGACTCTACACTGTTTCGGTTCATTGAGCTCCAGGATGAGGCAATCAGTTCGGCGGTGTTGCCTGCTTGTAGGGACCTCTTTTTCTGCCTGTTTTATCTTGCAGACAATCTTCGTCTCTGTAAGCTAATGTCCGTATGTCCGTATCTTGTAGGGTCATTTCATCATCGTTCTTCATTTAATTTATATGTCCGTATGTGCTTTGAGTTTTGTAGTTGTTTGCCGGTAGACGTGGTAGTTTTTCCCGATGTCAAATTAAAATCGATTGGTGTGAATTTACCAGTTTAGCAAATAGGTTTGATGAATGTCAGTAATTGAGGGAGGGATTTCATTCAAATATATTTTTGGGTTGAATTCGAAGTTATCATTTTATCCTTTTAAAATCCATATCAAATAACGTCAATTTACTTTTTACTAGTAACATAAATTATGATATCAAACTAGAGAAAGGTTGTATAACAATAGTAGTTTTTGATGGTTTATGCTGGTTGAAATGCAAAGGTTACGAGGATAACATAAGAAGTGGGGGCATCTCTGGGCAGTAGAAACAAAAATCAAGAATCAAATATTTTTTTGACGAATTGCTTACATTCATTCAATTACAAATAGGAACAAAAAAACAACAATGTTATTTTCTACCCTACCTACCTTGTGTCTGGTATTTTCCTCTGACTGGGTACAGGGTACTAGTGCTATCCATTTCATATACGACTATCTAATAATAGTACAGTATAAAAACCTCTACCGTACGTACGTACGTACCCTTGTGTTTGTTTCTATCATCTCGGAACTACAAAAATGAGGTATGACCTCCACCTAGAGGTATCCTAGGACTGAATACAACAGACACCTTCATCAAATGAGGGCATTGTGCGAACCCGATGCTCTGAAACCAACAAACACAAAACAGTGACTTTACTATTATATATATATATATATATATATATATATATATATATATATATAACAATAAAATGAGACAAGTATAGTTTTTTTCGATAATTGGTCAGAAATTGTTTCGGTACGTACCGGAATACTCAATACAAGTCCTTGAGCATTAACCAGGACAGGCATACTTCTTCTGGCAGCAACTGGAATACACTTTAAGCATTCAATAGCTCTACTTGCCGACAATATACCATAATAGCTGCTGCTGCTGCATTTATCATCATCCTGATGATTATTTTCTTCTGGTGGTCCCACATTTGCCTTGTTCTTCTTCGACAAGTCCGAAAGATACAACCAATCAGCATCCACCATGTGGCGCACCTCTTCGACAAGTCCTGGTTTATCATCATCCAACTGCTGCTAAAAAAACAATCTCCTTCTCCATCACACCGCGTCTTCCAATCTACTACAAATCTATCCATGAAGTAACCTACTTGGCCAGGCATAATAACAAAATTGTTCAAAGCAGCTGCTACTGCATCATTTGAAGATGGTATACCATCTTTCGACGCAAATTTAGAGACAGCTTTTGACTTAAAATCATCACTTTCTTCCTGCTGCAAGGTAACAATACTCTCATACGTAGAATGACTAAGAATGCCAAGCTTTTTGGCTTCGATTAGAACAGACTCAGCAGCTATGTCTGAAAATGGAGCATCAGAAGTGAATCTATCCAAATACGCTTCACTTTCTTTTACAATCTGCTCTAAATCGCTTGTGGGAAAGCAATTCTGCCCTCCGTAAGAAAACGGATGAAACAACTTCATAGTCACAGGGAAAGACAAATTGACAGAGCAGCATACAAGGACCTTAGTTCCTTTGGATCCAGGAGCTGGACATAGATAACAACCACCTACAGACTACAGTCAGACTAGTCTGTAAACATTTCCAATAAACAACTCATTATTAGGTAATCAAAAACAACAAAGTGCTGCAGCAGCAGCAGAGAAATACATTATTATTTTTATTAACCTTGGATGGTAAAGTACGAATGTAGCTTTGTAGCAATTTCACCGCCTTCCCTCTAACTGGTCTGTGTTTTTGTGAGATGAACTGATGTACCCAAAACAAATAGCCTAATTCAATTCCAATACAAAGTGGTACTTATACTTGTCGAAGTGATATATTTGCATGAAATGTGCATGCTAATTTGGCAATACCTGCACTACTGAAGTAACAAACTTTGCGAGGTAAATATCCTTGACTTCCATTGCACGGAGAATTTCCAAATCGATCACTGCATAGCCATGCTGCATTGAATTTATTTTTTCTTAAATTTATTTTTGGGATTAACATTATGATGACAACAGAAAATAAAACAGCAAAACAGCAGATTATCACAAAACAAAAGCATCTCAATAAAAAGAGCATACAGGCATGATGGTCACAGCCTGTTTCAGCAACAGATTACAGAATTTGTCAACAAGCAATCGGGTTCCTCGACACGCTGATATAGTTGCTTCCAACTCAGTCTTGAATATAGCTGTACCATATTAGATTAGAGCATCACATTAGCATTTTAAAATACCTAATCATCTGTCACTTATTATCCATTTTAATCAAAGACCAGCATCAGTATAATGCTTTACATGATGAAAAATTACTTAATGACATCCTGATCCTATTGCGAGCATATACAGGACTCTTATTTGTCGGATCTTCAACCCATTGTTGATTACCACTTCGACATATCTGCTTCAACAAACAACTTAGGAACAATTAAAAATAGCTATAAGCATCTAATATCAGTAACTAACAGCTAATGAAGACTTACATCATACATATCTTCCTTTGAGAAGTCTAGAAGTGGTCTCACTATTAAAATGCCACGAGGTCTTGATTCTTGTCCACAAAAATCAGGGAATTGCGTAAACATTTGTGAAGCAAATGACATGCCAGCAAGCCCAAGAACACCACTATTTCTCGATAATCTGAGAATGAACAACTCCGCCTGCATTTTGCATGTGCTTTAGTAATCATATGTTTGTGTTCATATATACTTAAACAATCTGGATGTCAAAATAAAATTTTCTTTGATATTCAAACTCGGCCCGTTAAAATTGAAATATTTCACATGCACGGAATCAACATAAACAATATAAGAAAGATGTAGTTGGCTTCATAAATACATAAATCAGTCATTTCGTTCATTGACTGGGATCATACATACACACAATGTTTGAGCACTTCAATTATACAAAGGAACAAGGAATAAAGTACAACTGAACATGAATACATAATACATATATATATAGATGCTGCAAACCTGGTCATCTGCATGGTGTGCGATCAACAGTATGCTAATCTGCTGTTGGATACATATGTTTTGTAAAGTTTCATACCTGCAAGGGTAGAGGTTATAGATTGGAAAAGCAAACACAAAGCAAATTCAATAGTTAGGGAGAAGGAAAAAACAAACAGAAAAAAGCTAATAAGAAAAAACACCTCTTATTGCGAGCTGCTTCTTGCAAGTGACCGGGGCTAGGTTTACCGTCCAACCATTCGCAATGGGAAACTTGACATTTTATTCCTATATATAGACGACGACAACCTACATTATCTACCCACCTCCCTTCTTCTAGAGAAACCAACAACAAGTGCCTGTTTCCAAAAAGAAAAAATAAAAAAAAAGGTTTGATTTGATTACCCATATCTAAAACTCGATTGCGGACAAGGTCTGCTTCCTCTGCACTTTCTGGACGCAATCCATGATCAACAACAATGGCTAAAAGGCCATCGACATGGTTGCTTCTTCCTTTGGTGGTAACAGAAGTAGCAGAATCAACAAGGTTATCAGATTTCCAATCAGCAGTCAATACACACAGCGCCATACTATCAGGACCACCAGAAACAGCTATTGCTGCATACGAAGGAAAAAAATGAACTCAAACTTTCCTAGGGTACCTACAAAATTGGTGAAGCGCGTAATACTTTGAAATAACTCAAAAGAAAGAGAAAATGGAAATGGAAATAGTTGTTAGTACAGACAGACCATACCAATGCGGTGATGAGGTTTAAGGCCAGCCGCCCCCATTCTCTGGGCAAATTTGTCTCGTCTGTACTCGGACATGTCGATTTCTGCGGTGTGGTGTCTGCAGTAGAAGCGGGCCCGCCTGGCGCCGGAGAATTTTCCGAACCACGAAATGACTGCGGGGATAATCGCCACCGCGGGATGCGACGGCGCCGTATTGGGGAAAGGCATGAGAAGGCCTCGGACCGCCATGGGATTGATTACTCTAAAATTCTATGGGGGCTTTGTTTGTTTGAAATTAATGGGTATGTATGTTAGAATGGAAGGTGAGGAGGAGAGATGAAAGAAAGATGAAGATGAGAGGGTTAGAGTAGAACAGGGAGGTGGTTTGCTTTAGGATTTGGGCGGTGCTGGTATGGCGGATATTAGGCGGCGGTGCTGGTGGCGGATTGCGGTGGCTCATGGCGGAGGGTTTGGGGAATTGGGAAAGTTTGCAGTCTAATTTGGGATTGGAGGGTTAGTGTATTGAAGTTTGGGATCTTGGAATTTGAATGAACCCAAACAAATTGTCAAATCTTTTTCTTTTTCCTTTTCTTTTTCTTTTCCACCAAAAATAAATAAATAAAAGTTTATGCGAATCTATATTCTATACCCATTAATTTATTTTTATAATAATAACCAACTTTCTATAGTTAACTTTAAATCAATATATAAATATCATCCATAAAAAATTATTAAAAAAATTGATTGGGTAACCAAACAAAATTAAAATCACTTAAATTGGTCTACACGTCCAATTCTATAATAATAATTGAAATATTTAATGGAAATTTCGAGTTTTCACGTATAGCATGATAGCAGAACATAACCCAAGAAATTTTTTTCCAGCCTATCAACCACCGTTGATCGCCGGTCTCCGGCGTTGATTTTTTTTTTTTTTTTTAAATTTTTTTTCTTAGAAAAAAATATTTTAATTAATATTACTGTCTAGGCTACTAAATTACTGTCTCATACAGTAATATTACTGTTTGGGACAGTAATATTTTGAATATTATTTTCCCGAACAGTAATATTATTAATATTATTGTCTAAGACAGTTAAATTACTGTTGGAGACAATAATTTAGCAGCCAAGACAGTAATATTAAATAAAATTATTTTTTGTAAGAAAAAATAATTTAAAAAAAAAGTCAATTAACAGTTAAATTATTGCCTGCGACAACTAAATAACTGCCGGAGACAGTAATTTAGCAGCCAATACACTAATAGTAATTAAAATATTTTTTTTAAGAAAAAAAAAATTAAGGAAAAAAAAGTCAACGCCGGAGACCCGGCGGTCAACGGCAGTTGACCGGCCGGAAAAAAAATTTCTGGGAAAAAAAGTTTTTCAAAAAAAAAAAAAAAAAAAAGTCAACGCCGGAGACCGGCGGCGACAGGCGGTCTCCGGTGGTGCCGGGTCAAAATTGGGGTCAAAATTGAAATTAAGGTTAAAATTGGTTAATTGATGAAATTGGGCTAAATTGGGGTGTAAATCATGAAATTGGAGTTGAATTGGGTTTCAATGAATTGGGGGTAATTTTGGTATATATAAAAGGATTTTTCTTATTTGCAAATAAGTTTGAATGAGGTGGATTTATTTGAAAGATAAAAAAGTTGGATGTCCCTCTTTTAATTAAGTGCCCTTGTCATGAGCTTTTTTGTAATTAACCTATTTAATTTATAAAAGATATAATGTTGTGACAATTAATAAAATATTAAAAAAAAATTAGATGGATATATGACCCATCAACCAAACCATCAACCGACCCACGAAATTTCGATAACAGTTTCCAATATTTACCAAATTTGGTTGGATCAGTTGGGTTAGTTTTATGGCTGGTTTTTAACCAAACCAACCAAACCACAAACCTAGTGAATAAATTCATACAAAACATATATAGCTAGGGGTGGAAATCGAAACGAAAGTTCCGATTTCCGCCGAATCCGATCCGAAATATTCCGATTTTGGAACGACTTTTTCAATTCCGAATTCCAAAATTCCGATTTCCGAAAATTCCAAAAAAAATCGGATCGGAATCGGAAATACATAACAGAATTTCGGAATTTCTGATTTCCGATCCGAAATTATTCCGATTATTTCCGATTTTCTAATTATTATTAATATTTATTACTATATATAATATGTACTATATGACTATATTTATCCGCAGTTCTGACTAATTACTAACTATATATTAGTATATTACTAATATTTTTTTCAGATTATTATATATATATATATATATATATATATATAAAGAACATACCCTTTAATGTTCCATTATTATTATTATTATTCTTAATAATAATAAAAAAAAAATAGTGGGTTTAATGGCTTATATAAGTTTATATATATATATATATATATATACTAGTGAGGAGCACCGCGCAAGGCGCGGTGCCGGTGCTCGGATGGGCGGTGCTGATTAACAGGAACGTTCCATGCTAGATTATGCAATTTCTTGATGATTGCATCGACTTCAGCAAAAGGAATTTCCATAACTGATGTTTCCTTAACCAAGTACTAAGACTGAAGAATGTTCTTCTAAATTACGGTCAATACCAAATATGCTTTAGGTATATAAGCAGTAATTTCAAATACAAATGTTAATCATACTCTCACAACTCTACAGATAAGTCACCCTTACTGCCGTACCACTCTACAAAACTGTACATAACCCGTGGAGCAACAATAAATGACAAATAAAACATCTATTGGAAACAATAACCCGACATAGTTGAATGAAAAATAACAAAGTAATGTCTCCACATATCTACGATAGAAAATTAAAAATCTATAACTAAAACATTGATCAGAGGGCTCAGTTCATATCGAAGAAACACGACCGTAACCGAGTTTGAGCATATCAAACTGCATTACGTGAATATCTCGTCCCAAACTGCATTAAAATTTTCAAATGGTAAACCAAAGAAGAGGCTTACAGCATATCGCTCTTCTAGTGGTCTAAGCTCTCTCGATAGGATTGAGTCTACAACTACCATGTCTTAAATTAACATTGATCTTTCTAAAAGAGTGTCATTTACACAGAAAAAGATCATAAGAAACGGCTTCGCGAACATAAAGAGAGGAAAAAAATAGCGAGAAAAGAAAAAGGGGAAGCAACTCGACGGCATTCGGTAATTCCGTAAAGAAGAAGGAAAAAAAGATTACAGAAGCACAATTTTTTTGAATTACTTCATTGACAACAAAAGTTCATCCACAAATCAATGGAATGATTTACCTTGGAAATTATCGCAAGTCTTTCGGAGATTAGTGCTTTCAATAGGATAGTCAGATGTAAGTCTATGTTAGCCTAATCAAAACACCTGTTTTGCAATAATATAAATAAATTATATCAGTACAAAGCATACACAGAAGAACTACCGAAGTGAGCAACCATTGCATGTTGGGAATTTAAATCAATAGAAACAAAGATAGCACACCTATCTGACCAAGCAGCTCAACTTTGATTCCATTGTGCTCTACTTTCTTCCCTGAAACTGGTTTAACAGAAATCTGAAAACATGCTGAAAACATGACATGGCAAGGTATCACCATGATTAGATAATCGAATCTAAATTAGCTTTGAACCTAAATTGGTAATGGCAATGTTAATAACACCACAGCAAAATACCTTCCCATATATGTTTTCGTGATTGTGAAAGAGTGGGACCATTACTGTTTGACCATTCTCCGTCTTCATTGACACCTACAGTAACATTTATACAAGCAACAAAAAAACGATGAGTATGTCCTACCAGTATGTCATACAAGTACTCACAAAAATAATTCAAGAATTTTGTCACGCCGATATGCGACAAAAAAAACTACAGATATTTGCTAACAATGAAAACTTAATACCTACATCTACAATCACCACTCAGTAGACACGATTATGCACTAAAAACAAGTGCAATTGGAAGGAACAACATAATTATAACAAGCGAGACGATAAGCACGCATACAATGCTAATCCGAATGCTAGAGCGATTAGGTAATATATGGTAAACCTTTTTTACTCTGTAAAGAAGATTCTAAAAGTTCAGTGGAATTCTAGAGGATAAAACAAACCTGCTTTCGAGATTTCGCACCCGAAAACATAAATGAAACATAGCATGCCGGCTTAAATGCTCCAACTAAAAAAATATGAAAATAATATTTAAGAATGTCGAGCAAGGGTTGAAACTTTACCATTGCTGAAAATTAACTCAAAATTAAATCAAAGCACCAGCAGAAGCACCTGCAACAAAATTATTTCAGAATTATAACTGGATATGAAACAAATCCACGAAACATCACATCCAAAGAGCATAAACACTGCTCAATAATTCGTGAATAACATAAAATGAGCCGACGACAGCACTGACCTCAGCTACTGCCATAAAATGGACGCGGCAACGCCGGCCTGCCTCATCTTGTTCAAAATCCAGTTAATGAAGTCGTTCAATTTGTCGATGCCGGTCTCGACTTCCGAATATCAATTTCCATTTCGCGCAGTGCTCCGAAACGGGGCATCGATGGAGGGCAGGACGGTGCCGGGGGGGGGGGGGGGGGGGGGGGGGGGGGGGGGGGGGGGGAA